AAAAAAAAAATTTTTTTTTTTTGTTATCGTTGTTTTATTTTGATTTTATGTTAAATTTAAACGTAACCTTAATGCTGCATTGAAAAATTATAAAGTCCGAATAATTTATTATGGGTGCTTTGTTGTTGACCTAAGAATACAAAAAAATTTTCAATCTAATAATTTGATGAAAAAAAAATATTTTTTCAAGAATTTTTTGTTCTTTTTTTTTTCTTCTGCAATACTGCTGTCATATTAACAGAACTTCACTGATAACAGTTTTTACATCAGCCAAGACAAATGTAAAACTGATAGCTTCTGACGACAGCAATGCATACTGATTTATTGAAAGATTTTTCAATGATTTTCATAATCTTTAACAGTTTTTGTCTTCTGTTTGTTATAACACAGCTGTAAACTTTAATTTTTCTACAAATATAAATCAGTCTTATTGGGAGTTCACAAATTTTTTTTAGAAGTAGTATATGTGTATTTTTTTTTTTCTGGAAATAACGAGCGATAAATGACAGAAAAAGCGAAAATTTTACGTGTAGAAGATAGTGTTTAATTCTTATGCTTTTCGCTTCCTTTCCTTCTTTATTTTGAAGATTTTCTCTGAAAAATGCCAAATGGTAAACGAATACTTCCATTTTGGGTTGAAGCCTGGTTGACAACATCAGCAATTTTATGTACCCTAGATGTTGTCTATACAATGCTTCGACCAGCAACACTTCGAAATGGTAGATTAGGAGGAGTTTACGTTCTTTGTAAGTTTATTGTTGTCTCAACTTGTGTATTTTTCTGCTTTTCTTTCTTTTTTTATTTCTACTTTGCTAAGTCAGCATTAGTCATTTTTTGTTGATAAATATAACTGATTATTTTTTATTGTACAAAAATGTTGAGGAACATTGATGGTTAAAATGAAAGCAACAAGTAAAATGTAGCTTTTTGCTTATTTTGTTTAATGTGAAACATATAGTAATTGTTCAAGTTGAAAAATTTTTTATGGGTTATCATCAAAAAACAAATTTTTGACAACTGAAAAGGAAAGTGATAAAACCTGAAATAGATAAATATATTTTAAACTACTATTGATTTGATCGTGTTTTTTTTTTTCAAGAGAACAAAACAGGGAAGGGAAGAAAGAGTAAATAACTTTTACTACAGCATAAATAGTTAAAAGATACAAAAAAAAAAAAAAACGGCAAATTTTTTAGGGAATATATACAGCGATATTGACTTAAGATATGCCAACGAAAAAGATTTGGTAACAATGGCAACCGGACGTATAATGATTGTCGAAATTGTTATGGATGTAATTGCACTGCTGTTGGTTAGTTATTTTACAACATTTATCTGTTTCCGTATGTTTTCGGCTAAATTTTCTTTTCAATCTTCAGGTTTTACTCTCGTATAACAAATGCAATTAACATTGTAAACCACTCATGCTGTAAATTTGTTGACATTTCGCAAACTACAAAAACATTTCACTAAACAGACAGTGTGGAATAAACTTGTCGTTAATGTTTGTTTCAATCTTTTCTTTAAACGACCGACAATTACCCGGCAGTTTGAGGTGCCAAAAAAGATTTCAACAGTTATATATGCCATATTTATTGTAACAACTTTTTGGGGTCAATTATTTCGTGCTGCCAGCCGGTACTGACAAGAAAAATCAGAAGAATCGTTACTGTTTCTGTTATCTTTGTTTCTGGTGTAACTATAGCCTTCAGAATGCCTCAAAAGTACAGAAAATTGAATGTTCAATGTGCCGAGTGCATAAAGGTGTCGCGTAATTGTGATAAATTCTAAGGATAATAGCTTACAGTTTACAATTCCACTATTTTTGATGAACTTATTTTGATAGCTTTAAAAGTGTGTCTCACAATTTCAAAAGAAACAAAAAAAGAAGACAGATATTTATAATTCAATAATAAAGAAAAATCTTTGCAAATTGCGGTATAACTTTAAATTATTAAAACTGCTGATTGTCGTTTTTCACAAAAAAAAACATAATAATAATAATTATTATAATATTTTGCTACCGAAACGATGTTTAGCAACAAAGAAAAAAAATTGATGAAAAAAGGGAGAAAACAGGAAGCAATTTAGTTTCCCACTTTTTTACTGCCAACAAACTGTGCGGTAAAAAACATGAATAGACAAAACTTTTTCCTGCTTTTTTTTTTTTTTTTTTTTAATGTTGGGCTAATAACAAATGTAACGATAAACCTGTAAAAAAACATGTAAAAAAAAAGCAAAAAAAGAAAAGCTAGATAAAAAAAAACTTTCACTGATTTTTTAAAGTGATTAAAGGATTAACAATTATAAGCACTGTTACTGCAGTAACTTTATAAACAAAAAAATCTTTGCTGTAGTTTCTTCAAACAAAATAAGACTTTTTTAAATGGTGTAGGCATAGGAAAATTAATATTTTCCTTTTTTGTTTTTTTGGTAGCAGCATTAATTTATTATTTTTGTGAACTAGAGGTTTTATTCTTATAAATATTTAAGTTAAGCAGCAGTTTAAAATCCTTCTATTGGTACACCTTAAACCGGTTGACCGGTATTGGTAGACAACTGATACAGTTACCAAATCATTGTAGTCCAATGGCTATGCTACAGCTATAATGCTCAAAAATTCACCAAAACACTGATTAAATGATTGGAGGTATAAATTAAGTAAATTAGAGCTATGCCCTGTTTAACATTTTGAGTGTTATTTCGCTAAAAGTCTGTAGCTGTTTTATCAAATTCTAAATTTCTGTGTGAGAGTTGATACCTGTAGAAAAGATCAAAAAATCAGTATGTAAGTGCAACAGTCCACTGGAATTTTATACCTTCTAAACATTACGCCAAAGTGATCACTGCACCCAATCACGTGCTTTAGTTCAGCTAAAATTTTATACCTAAGATAAATGAAAACTGTGTAAAGCGAACATTTGGCTTTATTTGGCAATTACATTAAAAACAGCTTTATAAGCCCTTTTACTGCCAAAATTTTGTCACTCTTTCTTCTCTTCTTCTTTGTTGTTAATAGACTAAATTAAATTTTACAAATATTCTCTTTTTTTTTCTTTTTGCATAAAATCATTTGGCTTTTCTAATGACAGGCAGTTCGAGGATCACGACATACACTTCTGGTAGCCTTTACAACCAGTGCATTTGCATTCTGGAAGACGCTATTATATATGACGCTTTACATTATGCCTCCAGAAGGTTAGAACTGTTTTATCCTCCAATTCCTGTTGCTTTTTTCTTTATTTCAGGTTTGACCAGTCAGTTCTGGTGACAACAAAATACACTTGATGAACAGTGTAAAAAACTGTCTGGTAAATTTGTTGATCACTTTCAACAGAGTGACGTCAAAAGGCCTTTTTTTTTCTGTTTTTTGTTGTTGTTTTTTTTTTTTTTTGACGGTTATATCATAGATATAACCAAAAAGAATCATCTGTTTATTATTATCGTTATCACATGCAACAAATTCTGAAATGCAACCAGATTAGATGGCTGTGTAACGATATTCTGTAACCAAAACTGCCACCTAACAAAGGAGAAAACTCACTGAACAATTAGCTGAATTTGAACAAACTGTTGATATTTGCTGTACAGTTGGAAAACTACGGAATTTTAACTCAGTCAGTAAACTGTAACTTTTTCTTCTTCTCGCTGCTGTCAAAGTGCTTGAACTTCACAAAGCGTTTCTGTAAAATAGTTTGAGAAAACTGGGCTTGAGCTATTCAAGTGATACGATATTTCATCAATGGCTTGATAACAAAAAAAAAAAGTAACATTTTTTTTATTTCAAATTAAGATTTATTAACTTGCAAATATTGCCAATGGAAGAAAAATTTGATGGATGAAATACTGTTTTAAGGTATATCTGAGACAGCA